CCTTCCCTTCCCCCATGGTCTTCTGTTCAGTTTCTCAGGATCCACATATGAGTGATAACATATGATATCTGTCCTTCTATGACTGACTTCCAGAATAATACCAACATAATACCTTCCACTTCCATCCACGTTGCTGCAAATGGCATGATTTCATTCTTTTTCATTGCCAAGTAGTATTCCATTGAATATATAAACCACATCTTCTTTAGCCATTCATCTTGCACTGTTGGTAGAAGTCCATTCTGATGAAGGTTTTTGGTAATTTTGATGTTCAGGCAGGATTAACCAGTTCTCAGAGCTTGACTAAAGAGCTTAAAGTCATGGATGTGTACAAGATGAGTTATCCCAGCACCACATGCCAAATTCAGAAAGGTTTAAAACCTATAGACAAGGTGACCCCTGCAGCACTGGAGAAAGTTCTCATGAAGCAAGTATGTGGTAAGCAGTCTGTGGTGGGGTTAGCGGGAAAAACCAGTCAAGGGTGCATTGCCACCAAGCAGCTTAGAATGAGCAAGACTCCAGAGCTGGACTGCCTGGGTTTAAATCCCAACTCTCCTGTTTACTAGATATTTGACCTTCAGCTCAACCTCTCTGTGCCATAGTTTCCTCATCTGGGAAATGGGGGATGATAAATTACACTATCTACTTCATAGGGTTGTTATGAGGAGCAAACGAGTTGATGTTTGGATCGTCTTTAGGACTATGCTTGGCCCTTAGAAAGTGTTTTGAAAGGGTTGTGTTAAATAAAAGTCAGCATCATGATACACACACGCCCCCATTTAATGTCTATCAAGATAGGGTAGCTGAACCATAATTTGTTCCAGATAATGTCTGCTTCTCTATGGATGAGATGATCTTTCCATGAGGGAAAGGGACCACTTATCCCAAGCAGTCTCCCTCTCTGCCAAAAAAGATCCACTCAGATTACGTTCAAGTAAAATAACTCCATGGTCCCCTTTCCCCCAATTATGGCATAATGAATGGAATACATTTTTCCAAGAGACTCTTGCCTTGGTGGAGCTCATCATTTCCCCTCTTTTTTAATTACATTGACTGGCTCTGTCTTACCTCCAATTATGAAATTAATTTTTATAAATCTTTTGCTTTTCCTATTGTTCTCCACAATAGTTAGCAAACAACCCTCACTCTCTAGGCCATTCATTAAAAAAAAAAAAAAAAAAAAAAAAGATTATGCTTAGGCATACACATTACCCCTGAACTGACAGACTTCTACAAAACTAATTTCCCCATCCTCTTATCAGAGTTCTGTACTGAAGCAGCAGTTTCCACATGGAAACTATTTATAAGCTGCACAGGGCAAGTAAATGCCAGGAAGCAAAATTGGCTGCCTTTAGGATTTTACACAGACATTCCAAGTCCCAGACCTATTTCTTTTTCAAAATTTTAATAATTAGTCATTTTCTTAAGCTGTGACCAAAAAAAAAAAAAAAAAAAAAAAAAAATGTTTCCTAAGAGGACATTAGGATTGTATTAAGCCACTTTGTCAGGCAGCTTAATAAGCATCCCACTGAGCGGGTCAGGAGCCACAGCCCCTCCCAGACTCGGTGCAGATAAAAACTCCACTGATATGTACTTGAGTCCCTGACCTGCAAGTTAACACTCCCTGTTTTTCCAGACGGCCATTCTCCCGAGTGCAGGCTGACAATCATGTCACACGGGGCTAGGACCTGACCACCAGCCTCATTTTCAATTGTGAGTAAAATCAGGATTTGAAGCCAGGTCTCTGAAGATCAAGCGCAATGACATGAACTTGGTCCCCTAATAAATCACAGCTGAAGTTAGTGTTCAGGAGAGCAAATGCTATATGATGCTGCTGGCAAGATGAATTCTATTACAGTCTCACTTGCCCCCTTTTGCCTTGGCTTAAAACTTTCAAAGAAGTGTAATCAGAGTTTCCAAAACTCCATGTTTATCCTTTGTTTAAAAGCATTGTTTTGTGGTTGTTCTTTTGGGAAATCATCGTACAGATGGCCTCAGAGGAAAAATTATATATCTTATATTTATTCTGAGGGCTGTGGGCTTTCACGGGACAGAGTTTAGAACAAAAATCATGTGTGGATCGAGGAATTCTGAGTGAAGGAAGAACAAAAATTACATACCAAGCCATTTTTGAAAGAGCAAAAAATTACATATCATTTTTGAAATATTTTTAACATTTTGTATTTTCTATCTAGAAATGCTGAAAATAAATAATAATACCTGAAAATTATGATGTACCTTCTGAATTCAGCTTCAGCGGAGCAGGTGATACTTAAGGAAGCATCACCGGTAAATATCAAAACATCACAGAAATATTGATGTTTTACTGCTATGCTCTTCTTAGCAATTTTTTAAGGGGGCAAATGGCATAAACTCAGCGTTTAAAACTACAAAGTACATGTTTTTTTCTGATTCTTCACGCAAAGATGTGTACTCACAAAGAAAAATCAATTTGTCAACCTTGTGTGTACATGACATTTTTCATTTCCCCACTTGCTGAGGAGAAACACAGACAATGTGTGCTGCTGAATGAAGTGACATTTAAAGAATTGTGATTTGTTTTCATTTACCACCTTAGTTACATTTAAAAGTTTAAATATTACACGAATAAGCGTTCTCTACATATTTGAAATCAAACCAGTAAAATTCCTTGCAAGGAAGCAAAATTTTCACCTACTCAACTCACCCTTTTATGTCTGTTGTCAAAATGATGCATTTAATGGCATCAAAAGGCTGAACAAGTAGAAAATGTAGGCTCTTTTGGCAATATTTTACAAATTTATCCAAGCTTTCACTTGCCCTAAACTCCCTTCTTTTAACCCTAAACTCGTGCCTTCAGGATCTAGCCCATCCTTAGTTTCAGAACCACATTATTCTAACTGTTGAACCAGAAGTAATTTATAGTTTCACATCATAAAAGGATCAGGTTTACCTCTTCAAGAAGACGGTTGGTCATTGATGGTTATATCTACCATGCTTAGAATATTCTGTTTGTCATATTCCATAATTTGAAAAGTGGGTTTTGTGTAAATACATTGCCTGCCCTACTATTTTGCAAGCAGAACACTTTTTCCTAAAGTAGCTTCATAATACCAAGTAAATCCATTGCTCGGTTCTCCTGATTCAGGATGACAGCAAATACCACAACCCACTCTGGCTTCAAGTGCTTTCTATTCTGAGAAATGAGTCTTCTTCTACAACCAGACCCATTTAGCATCCATGCCAGACTCTGTTTGGGACTTTATTTGTTTCTTGAAAACAAGCTCTACGGGATTGGTCATCTTATGGCTATTTTGTAGTTGAAGAAACTGAGACTCAGAAGGGTTCAGAGGAGTTAAGCCCACTTAGCTGTCAGGAATTGGGATCTAAACTGTCTGCATCAAAAACCTGGATTTCAATAACTGAGCCATCTTGTTTCTCTTTCTGGCCATAAGTGAAATATAATGGTCGAGATCTGAAGGCTGGGTTCAAATCCCACCTCTGCTCCTTCCCAGCTGTGGCACTTGGGAAAAGTGTCTGAACATTGAATGAAATGAAGCTAGCAAGGTACGTGTCCCATAAGACGTTCTCAAAGTTTAGAATGGGTGTGGAAAGCCCTCTGCGCAGTGCTTCCCATGCAGCAAAGTGTTCAATATGAAACGGGCTGTCAGAGTATGGGAAGTACCAACTCTAGATACTCCAAATCACAGTGTGTGTGTTCAAGGCATCTGTAGAGTTAAAATACAAAAGACTTAACCAGGTTTTTCATCATCCAGGACTTTCACAATCATGATTAATGAAAATGACTTTTATTAAAAGTTCACCACTGCCAGGTGCTGTGATGGGCACTTTGTATATACCATATCCATTGCTTCTCACAACCATGTGATGAACTAGAAATTAAACCTGTTTTGGAGTTTATGAGCACAGGATTAACAGTGGTTATATATTCAACCAGCTACTTATATAGAGGAGTGAAGATGTGAACCCAGGCAAATATCACAACCTAAGCTTTTACTATAGTTGTGTGGACTACTCTACTACTCCTTGATTATCTCTGTGGCAGGATATGTAATGACTTCTATAAATTCACTTGTTTTTGTTGTTCCTCTCTTTCTCTATACGTCAAAAAGATGGAATGCAAACATTTTAACTCACTGCCTAGATAATTTGAGGATTGAGACCTCTCTGCTCTCCAAGAAAGGGAAAGTAGCTTATCAGTTGCTAACAATTTGGGTTCTAAGGGTGCTGAAGCCAACAGGAGGCCATATACTGTGCAAGAAAAGGAAAACAGTGTTTCAAGAGAGTTGAAGTCCCTCTAAGGGACTAGGAGGGTTTCCCCCAGAATGAAAGTCGGTCAGAAGGAAGTGACTTGAAAGAGGAGGTGACTAAGAAAAGAGTCATGGGGACAGGAACCTCATCCCCAGAAGTCAGCTTCTAGAAGGACAACTCTAAAGGGCCTGGGTGAAAGACAATCAAACAGCTGTAACTGAAACTAGCCTGCCTTGGATCAAACCCCAATTCTACTACTTGCTAGTTTTGTGACTTTTGACAAGTGGCTAACCTTTATTCTGCTACCTCAGAATTTCTCTTCTGTAAAATGGGGATAATGTTAGCATTCTACCTTATAGGGTTCTCAGGGTTAAATGATACCTGTTAAGCCATTAGAATAATATCTGGCCCAGAGGATGCGCTTAGTTATTATTTATACAATATTTGAGAGCTCTTGAGTTGGGTGGAGCTATGTCATCCTATGCCCAAAATGGAAGTCTATGCCATGGTCTGCACCCATGTCTGTGCTCGCATCAGCAGATCCTCCTGTTAGGGCTCAGAAATAGCTCATTCTGGAAGGATCCAATGATATGCTCGTGATTTCCCAGTGGGAGCATGTTGTGACTTTGCTACAACCCTTCTCTGCCATTTCCAAATGCGACACGGGGACCACTGTAAATCCAAAATCAGAAAGCCTGTTAAAGTCAGAACTTAAGTGATTAACAATGAAAACCCAATTCCCCTTTTTTTCTATCTCCACTTCTATTTTGCTCAGTTCCCACATGTGTAAAATAAAAATTTCACCCACCTCACAGAATCATTATGAGTATTAAATGAGATAGCAAATAAAAATTGTCCAGCACTGTGCCTGACACATAGTAGGTCATTAAAAAATATCTATTTGCTCTTTTCTTTCCTTAAGCTAAAGACAGCACTTGTTAAACAGTGTTAAGGGACTAATGATTGAAGGTTAAAGGCCTCATGAGAAGCAGGGAATTGGTTCTATCATTAAGACACTGCTGTGTATACCATATCTACTGATTTAGTCCTTCCTCAAATGCTTGTTTTTCATAATGTAGATATGATAGAAAGAATGACTTCAACATAGGAATAAAATAAAGAAAATAATAATAATGATCATTAAAAATATCTAACTTCTGATACACAAAAAAAAATGGCTTCTGTTTCTTTAATAGAAATGTCTATATTTTTCCGTTTTGGTCCCTAGAAAACCAAATCATCATTTATTCCTATGTGTTAGAAAGAGATCTGTTCTGCCATAGTTGTTAAATTCATGTATGCTCATACGACAGAAGGAGATATTCTGGAGGGCCTTTTCCATCATTAAATGAGCACCTATGTAGTGCTGCCAGAAGTGAAAGGGATAAGGGCACTTTGAGGAATAAAAGAGAAAAGGCACTAACATAAAAATTAATCAGATGATGTGTATTAGTAGACAGAGCCCCACAGTCTGTTTACTGCATCCTCTGTGTGACAACATAACAAAGATACTGAGGGAAACCACTAGAGAGAACACACCATTTCAAGATCAAAATACTAGAAACAAGGGCTTATTTGAAGTACTGTAAGGATGCCACACCTCACCCTCAGCAGGGCGGCTAATTTCTCACACCAATCAGTCCATTGCTAGAAATGCTGAGGAGGGAAAAAAATCCCTGCCGCATACTTTCCTGTCTTTCGCCAGATTCTAAATCTTCGCACAGAAATAATTTGCAAGCACAGGCTTCTCTGGGATTCAATAAATTTTCCCAACCACCTCTCTTTGTTCCTTCAATCCTAGAGGGATGCTCCAAGCAGACAGGAAATGTGACCCAGAAGTGTGGCAGCACATTTGTGTCTTGTTTCAGGAAGATGAGTGTTTCTCAGTCTCGTGCAGTTGAACTCACCCATTCCATCTCTGAGGAAAGTTTTGAAGTCTTGGCCCTTTGTTCTCAAGACCACTTTAAGAAACAGCCCTTGGGGACACAAAGACAATAAACTGCTTGGTGGAATGCTCTGTGCTCTGAATATATATCTTCAGGGATCAGGATATACTACTGATGTTTTTCTATCATGGCTTTTCAGACACTATTCCTTGTTACCAACCAGGATGATCAGTCCTAGTCTAGGTTACACTTTAAGAATCTATCTCAATGATCACATGCTGGTTCATAGAGTGAATATAATATTTTCACATAGCCTTCAAATTAGTTCTAATCTTTCTCTGGAGTACAAAAATGTCATTGAAAGTATTCTTAAATAAATGGGAAATATGTGTATATTCTATACAAATATCTATATGTAGCTGGACTTTACCTAACTGAAGCTAGACATAGACAATTTATCTATATTAACCAATAATGACAGTCATTCACTTACTTTCTTATTGGGATGGGATTTAAAGACAGGGAATTCAGGGGTGGGTCTTGGGTTCAAGCACAAACATGCTCAGCATGGCCACTAGCCAAAGGAAAATGTGGATGCATCTCAACCCCAACCCCAAACAGGTGCAGCCCTATAGACCCACTTGTGTTGAGCAGAAGAGGGAGGTGTCTGAATTTCAGACCCCACCTGAGACCTCAGCAGGGTACAGCACGTTTCACAAACAGCACAGTGACAGAAAGCCCTTCACGTGCAATGAGGACATCAGTAGTGGGTTGTGAACACCTATCCCCAATACCAAAAGCTCTAGCCCACCAAATACCCTGATACACGAGAAATTCATGCAGGGATCAAGTATAACAAATGGGTGGTAATATTCATTATACTTTACGAGAATTACTTTCGTTTATCACAGTTGATATACAAATGGTTATAGTCTTTAAATACATAGGATACATTTTATATTTTCAAAATGAAAATTCCAACCCATTACCCTTCATAAACACAACAAACAAAAAAGTCATCATCAGGAAATAGAACCCACCCAAGTAATTTCTTCTTTTTTTTTTTTTTTTAATTTTTTTTTTCAACGTTTATTTATTTTTGGGACAGAGAGAGACAGAGCATGAACGGGGGAGGGGCAGAGAGAGAGAGGGAGACACAGAATCGGAAACAGACTCCAGGCTCTGAGCCATCAGCCCAGAGCCCGACGCGGGGCTCGAACTCACGGACCGCGAGATCGTGACCTGGCTGAAGTCGGACGCTTAACCGACTGCGCCACCCAGGCGCCCCTAAAGTAATTTCTTCTGAATCATCTCTCTATCTGCTCCATTTCTCTTTTCCCCACCCTTCCATGGTCTGTTGTTGCCAGCAAGTCAACATAAATGCTGAAGGAAGAACAAAAGGAAAACAGAAACATATATTTATGTAAACTTGTATTGATTCAACTAGGAAGAAACCCCACAGCTTTCAAGGTCTGAGTCACAAATCATTATGATCAGAAATGCTGAAGTGCTAGGAATACACAAGTGCTTTGGCTTGTTATCATGGCTCGGGCCTGTTGCAGAGCCAGAGTGAAGTGGAAAAACATTAAATATAGTTTTAAGCCTCTGTTTATCAGGTGATAGTTCAGGAAAGGGAGGACACAGTGGCCCTAAGTCCAGGCTCGTCTATTCAGCACCACGCATCCTCACTGACACATCCGCATTTGGGAAAATCAGAGGGAGGTCGCGTCACCTTTCCAAACATGAGAAAACTCTGTTCTTCCCAAGATGACCCGAAATGTTCTAATTATTGGTTATTCCCTCTGGTTGGTGATGCAGCCAACAAGCACGTAGAGTTCAGTGAACCCACAAGCGCACAGCTGTTATCTTTGACTTGTGGCCAAAACAAAAATTGGAACAGAATTTACCCAGACAAGTGTAAAGGCTTCTGTTTAAAGCAGCTATTTTCTAAGCCAGATAAACAGCTTTGAAATGGAGAAGAAATGAATCCTTTTCTAGAATATCTGAATCAAAGTGAGGTCAATGTCTTAAAGACAAGATGTTAACATAGATTACCCAACCCACACAGACCGCAGAAGTCTTCCAAAGAGTGCGGCAGCCTCCAAGCCGCCTGTAGTTCTACCTGTTTATCAACTTGTTTTTGTGTTTTGGAAACAGCTTTGTGCATTCGGGAAAGGAGGCTGTGTGTATTTAGTTCATGATATAAAACATCAGAGGACTGCAAACTGCCGTACTGGAAGTTTTCACGAGCCAGCGGTTGTGTAGGCCAGTAGCCTCTTTGGCCGGCCGCATCAGCCACTCTTACTTGGCAGCAGGAGGGCAGAAAGAAACAGAGTAGTTTCACTCTGGGACTGAGTCAGTGGTTCTGTCCTTTGGATTTCCACTAAGAAACGACATTAACAAATACCTTGCTTTTTATAGGAAGCAATGAGACTGGTAAGAAATAGCTGGTAGGCGAAGCAAGGAAAAATCACCCTCCCTGTTCCTTACGCAAACACTGTGCCTCTGCTAATCTGGCAATCCATCTTACAATCACCAAACAGTACAGAGAAAGGAAGCAATTCACACCGCAATAGTACTCCTCAGAGCTTTTCATCGCTTGATGCCCATTGCGGCTGCTTGTACCAGCAGGTGGGTATAAAATAGCAGATTCAGAGACTACAGGAGTAGTGTCCCAGGGTGGAAGAGGAGATGATTTTTTTCCCCCAGTAGAGTGAATATGCATATCAGTGTACATGACTGGAGAGCTGGGTCCTGGTGAGCTGTCATCAGCAGCAATCCGTCTGTACTTGCATCTCGAGTGGTCTATTTCAGTGATAACAAGGCTTATGTAGCAAGGGTTTGAAAAGCCTGCTTCTCTTGCTTCCAGCGGGGTTACAGACTAGACTACATCTGCAGTGCAGACAGCCCTGAGCCTACTGTCAACTTTCTTACATTCCCCAGTTCCCCTGTGCTCTTCACTTGCAGCAATAGTAAAATTGCACTGGTTTTGAAGGCCTTTAAGCACCACACATCCAGACATGGTAAGAACTACAAGACACCGTGGCCTGTTCTAAAATACTCTATCGTTAAGGCAGTCAGCTGCATAATTGGTGTCGACTTCATACCCAATGGGCAGGGATAGTTATCAGAAACCCATTGAACAAATGGATGGGATGTTTCAAACCTATGAGCATCAAGCTTCTCCAAAAATAACAAGAAGTGACAGCTGAAGTCATGCTTAATAGAATTGGTTTTAAAATGTGAAATGGGTTTTAAAAGCAGCACTGCCTTCCTATTGGGTGTGAATGAGGCTTAGTATGAAATATCATAGGAAGGGAAATCCCTATAAAAGCGGGGACTCTTGCTTTGTTCTCCACCTATGACAATTGGGTATCTCCAGATAATACTTGAAAGGACTAATGTGTGGGCAGCAATGGGTGGGTGGCCAAGGCTTGTGTAAAACAACACTTTTAAGAATTTCAGCACATTTCATAAGCAGCACATTAGGACGAATCCTTGTAACAATTCCAGAGCTGTTGTTTATCTGGTAATTTGTTTACCTGAAGTAAGCAAGAGAAATTGTGCCTGCCACCTTCCTTCCCTCCCCTGGACTCTATGTTTTCTGCTGTTGGTGTCTGATTAAGTATGCTTTCTCTACCCAATTCATGCCTTTCTTATGATTCTCTAACACTGGGTCAGCAATTTTTTTTCTGTGAATAACGAATAGGCTGAAAGTTTGCAGACCATACTTTCTCTGCCACAACTACTTAACTCTGCCCTTATAGCAGGAAGCCAGCCACAAACAATAAAGGAGGTGGCTGGGTTCCAATAAAACTTTATGTATAAAGATAGGTGGGGGGCCACAGACATGGTTGTAGACTCCTTCTGTAACAT